ATTAAAAATTCAATATATGATTAAACATAAGTAAAAAACGAATTTCAATGATTTTAGATTTATCTTTATCTAAAACTATTTTATATTGGATTATAAAATCTTTATTAACCTTGAAATATAATTATATTTTTAGTAATACATCATTAATTATAAATTAAAAACGAATTTCATTTATTTGCTAATCATCCTTATTTAATTTTTTTGATATTATGTATTTATCAACATTGAAAAATAATTATATTTGTTAATATATAATTAATTCTAAATTAAAAACGAATTTCATGAATTTGATTTATCATTATCTAATTTTTTATAATTGTGTTATAAGTCTTTATTAACCTTGAAAAATAATTATATTTGTTAATATATATTTCATTATGAAAAAATAATTCGCAAAGAATTCATGTATAGATAGTTTACATTACTAAAGATAATTTTATTATATTTTTTTTGTTATGTCTAAAAATGATATTAATTTATTACTAAATAATTTAAATTTATGAGTATTTTCACATTTAATTTGTGTATGACAATTATTTATATGATGATGAAAAATTTATATATAGAAAGAATTTGTTTAAATTATTATTAAATATTTTGAGTGTATGAATAATAATTTATTATAATTTACTTAAATTGATTATATTTGTTTATAGATATTAGAAAATTATTAAGCCTGTAAGTGCGGGCAAAACACCTAGTTATTTTGTGTTAGATTCTCGGTTTACACCCAAAATTTGTCAAAGCTCCAAACTTGATAATTGTACACCCAAAATTTGTCAAAGCTCCAAACGTGATAATTGAGTTTTTCTATGTAACTGCTTGTAACTGCTCCAGATTTTACGTTTCAGTCAACGGTCTTAAAATAATAACCAACACTTTTGTTTCTCTCTCAGCCTCCTCGACCTTGTATCTATAAAAAACTTTTATCTATCGTCCTTACACTCAATCAACTTTGACTCCCTCTCTTTTTTTTTTTTGACTCCCTCTCTTTACTCCTCTCTCTCTCTCTAACTCTCTCTTGTTGGTAAAAATGAAAGTGTCAGGTCCATTGATTTGGGTTTTCTTGATGTGTTACATATTTGGTCACATGATTACAAGTCATAACAACGGCTTAGTCGAAGCCAAGAGCTTTTCCAAATTTGAAGATCTAGATATAGAGAAGAAGCTAAGGACTATCAACAAGCCCGCTGTCAAGATCATCAAGGTTCATTCATATTCATGTCGTACTTATCAATATTCATATACAAGAATTAATTCAACTAAAGTTTTATATTAAACTCTATATGTTCTGTCTGGAAATGATAGACAATTCATGGAGAACGATACGGATGTGTGGATTTCTTCAAGCAACCAGCATTTGATCACCCTTCTATGAAAAATCACACCTACCATTACATGGTATAGTTCTGGTCAATACCTACCTTTGTATGTAAATTATTTGAAGCATGTACATGTAAGGAAAAATAATACTTTGTGACATGTCTTAGATGCGCCCGATATCACATCCCGAAGGAATGAGAAAAAGAGAGACAAACAATTCTGGTTTTGGCTACTTATGGGAGAACGGTGTGGGTTGTCCCATTGGTACGGTCCCTATACGAAGAATCACCAAAGAAGATATCTTGGGATTAAACTCGTTAGAGGATAAATATAAACCTCGTAGTTCTTACAACACTACCATCTACGGTACTAATGACCCTTATTACAACCAACATCATGTAAGTTACTTCTTTTTAGTTAAATAGATGTCCATATATTTATAATAATTAGTATGTTAATTTGGATATTGAATGAAAATAATTTGGATTAGTTTGCGGTGGGTCGGACACCGAACAAAGGAATGATCTTCCATGGAGCAACAATGGAACTTTGTATAACAGCTCCTAAGGTTAAGCCTACCCAAGTCAGTAGTGCTCGGCTTCACATTCAGATGGGAGATGATTACATCCAAATGGGTGTAACTGTAAGTTATATTTACGTACGCTACAAACCACAGTTACTAAGCTATTTGTATTTTGTAGTTTGATAAATAATTTTATATATATCTATTAAGGTAAATCCATCACTGTACAAGGACGACCAACCTCGGCTTTTCGTCTATACAAAAGTAAGATCGAGGCCACGGCCAGCCCTTTATCCATTTATGTCAGTAATTAATTCTCGTTCATAGATATGTGACGTAACAAATATATGTATATCGATGAGACAGGCCGGTATACAATCATGTTACAATCACCAATGTGACGTAGGAATGATAAGTGTTCGTTCAGATGTTCCAATGGGCACGTCAATGCTGCCAGCTTCTGTTCGTGGTGCTAAGGAAAGTTATTTCGCCTCATTCGGCCTAATCAAGGTTGGCTTCATTCTTAGATTATGCTTCTGTCTTTTTATTACATTATTCATTCTCATTATAACTTGTAAAATTGTTAGCTACATTTTATTCAGTATGTATACTTACTCTGTCTACTAATCATTTTGTTGGCATTAGGACAAAGCAAATGGGAACTGGTGGTTTGAGTTTGGTAAAGACGCCGACGAAATCGGTTTCTGGCCGGCGAATTTGTTTCGCCAAAGCTCTGGAAACTACGTCGAGTGGGGAGGAGAAGTGTTCACCGCATCACTACCTGGTCCTGAAATGGGATATGGAATTTTTCCATATGAACATATACGTTACGATGCGTATGTCAAACGTGTAGCCATACTCGATAATAATTATAACTTTGATACCAAAGTGGATTATATGGAATCATTTTCGGACGATAACGGAGGATACGAAGTGATCGACTTCGTAAAGTCTGAATTCAAAGATGCTGGTCATATAATCTTTTATGGTGGTTCAGGACTTAATCATTAATTAAAAAGTTTGGTCTATATTGTACAATAACTTTAGTATTATTGACATATGTATTCTTGAAACTATCTCATAAAATAAACATTTCAGAATACTTAATAAATTTCAAATTTATGTATTCTTATAAATAACTAATTTCTGAATTATATGAAAATTAGTCAACCTATATTTTTTTTTATTTTCTAGAAAAAAAAACATTGTTACCAAGAGAACATTCTGTCAGCAAGCAAAAGCACGATTTTAATTACCATAAATATCACATGCATGGTTTTAACTAAAATTGTGTTCTACTCACAAAGTTACAAAGTTAAAAAAAAAATTATATATCTAGTTACAAAGTTTGAATTAATAAATTAATAAATAAGCTAAAAATTACTTAAATATAATAGATAAGCAAAAATATCTAAAATTATAGAGAATATGATTATATATCTAGTTATGGTATTGAAATTAATAAACTAATGATCAGCTAAAAATTACTAAAACATGACGCATAACATAAAATAAATTAAAATCATAGAAAATTTGACACATAAACTAATTTATTTCTCAAATAATAGCATCAAAATTAATAAATTAATGAACTAGCTAAAAACTACTTCTTCCTTTTTTTGTAAAAGGGCATAGCTAAAAACTACTTCTTCAATTTTTTTGTAAAAGGGCATAGCTAAAAATTACTTAAACATGATTGATAAACAAAATAACCTAAAATTTTGGAGAACATGATTATATAGGTCTTGATTGGTATAATTGATGATAACTCAATAGCGTTATGTTATAGAAGCATTATATTGCATAAGATGTATGTTCTCATTAAAAAAATTAATAAATTGATTTATAGAGCACAAGCAGTATACAGTTTTAAAATTATCATAAATTATTATATAATATAATTAATTTTTTAAAATAGTTTATATTGATTAATAGTATTTATTATATTTAAATGTTTTATGATTTTTTTAAAAAGAAAATAAAATATTTTAAATGTAAATTTTATTATAAAAATATATAAACTATATATAAAATTATCATAAAAAAATATTTATTAGTAGAGAAGTAAATGATTCACATATAAAATTATTATAAAAGTAATATATGATATATATAATATAGATATGTTTATATTTATAATATATAGATATGTTTAATATATATAATATAAATATATTTTTTTGTTTTGTTATTAAAATAATGAACGATATATGTAATTATGTATATTATATTTTTTGAAATGTAAAATATTATTTATTTTACAAAAAATAAATTACTTAATTTCAATTTTTATTTTTAAAAATATAAAAAAAAAATTTGGATAGACACATAATTTTATATTATTAAATAATTATGTAATTTTGTTTTTAATATTCTAACTCCAAATACTCTACTTAAAATCTCCATATGAGAGCATTAAGGAATATGTGGACAACATTATAGCATCTTGTAAATACTTTTGTAATTAATATTGATTGGATAATAAGAGCATTATACTTATGTTAATGCTATAACAATCAATGTCATATCTAATTACACAGTTTGAATTAATAATGGTATTAAAATTAATAAACTAATGAACCAGCTAAAAATTACTAAAACATGACACATAACTTAAAATAACCTAAAATAATGAAAATATGACTCATAAGCTAATTCACTTATCAAATAATAGTATAGATTTGTTTTATAAATAAAGATAATTAAACGAACATGGATAACTCCTTATATATAAATATGTATGAATTTAGATTTACTAAAAGAGGATGGATAACTCCTTATATATAAATATGTATGAATTTAGATTTATTAAAAGAGGAGTTACAGTTTTTAAAGAAATATGACACTAATTAATCAAATATCCACCCTCAAATAAGTGGCCATCAAATGAAATATATATCAATTCATGATCAAATACATAAATCTGGATAAAATTTATTTTTTTGGTCAAAATCTGGATGACATTAATTTTTATCAAAAAGAAAGTTCTTGATAACGTATATCAAATATAGATAGATAATTTTTTTTTTCTGACTAAGAGATAGATATATGTTATCAAGAACTTTTGTTGAAACATATATCTAATACATACATGTATATATATATGCACACTTCACCTATTGAAAACTCATATTGGCAAATTAACGTCTCAATAATGGTTTCCTTTGGCTTGATCTTCTATCTTTCATCGGTTCTTCTCATGAGCCTTTGTCAGCATCCTACAGCTATTGAGGATGATAGAAAGGCAAGTCATTGCTGTTATGTCTCGTTACCATAATAAATATCTATGTTTTTTTGAAAATATTTTTAAACATCTATGTTTATCTTTTTATTATTAGCCTATTCATCGTTATAGCATTTGGTTTGACGCAGGTATATATTGCTTACATGGGATCTCTTCCTGCAAAAGCTTCTTACTCTCCTATGTCTCACCATCAGAATATCCTTCAAGAAGTTATCGAATCAAGGTTTTAAGACATGACTCAAAACCTCTCTCAGCCTTGTTTCTTGTTGCTTACGTCATTGTCTCTCACTGGTATTTTTCTTTGTGTTCCAAAGTTCCGTAGAGGATTCTTTGGTCAGAAGCTATGGAAGAAGTTTCAACGGGTTTGCAGCCAAACTTACTGAATCTGAAAGAGACAAGCTTGCTGGTGAGATCATATATGTTTATATAAAATGATTATGTAGCTCACTATTATGGCTATTTCAATGTTGATGATGTTATGTGTGATGTGAAGGCATGGAAGGTGTGGTTTCGGTTTTCCCAAGCACCTTATATAAGCTTCTTACCACAAGGTCTTACGAGTTCATGGGACTTGGTGACAAGAGCAAGCAAGTTCCTGAGGTCGAGACCAATACAATAGTTGGTGTAATAGACGGAGGAATCTGGCCTGAATCCAAGAGCTTTTCAGACAAAGGCATTGGCCCAATACCTAAAAAATGGAAAGGAACTTGCGCTGGAGGAACAAATTTCACATGCAACAAGTTAACAACATTTACCCTAATCTCTTCTCCAAATTTCTTGCGTGAAAAGCGACAATTGAATGAGAGATTAACTAACCCTAATCCAAATTCTACAGAAAGGTGATTGGAGCACGACACTATGTAGAGAACTCGGCGAGGGACTCTGATGCTCACGGGACACACACGGCTTCAACAGCAGCTGGAAACAAAGTAAAAGGAGTGAGTGTGAACGGTGTGGCCAATGGAACTGCTAGAGGAGGTGTGCCTCTAGGTAGAATTGCTGTTTACAAAGTTTGCGAGCCAGCAGGTTGCAACGCAGAAGGTATGTTAGCTGCGTTTGATGATGCTATAGCCGATGGAGTCGATGTTATAACCATTTCCATTGGAGGAGGTGTTACTAAAGTCGATGTAGACCCTATTGCTATTGGATCATTTCATGCCATGACCAAAGGGATTGTTACCACGGTAGCTGTCGGGAACGACGGCCCTAAACTTGGACTAGCAGACAACGTTGCACCATGGCTCCTTTCAGTGGCTGCAGGTTCAACTGATCGGAAATTTGTTACTGATGTGGTTAATGGAGATGGCAAGACCTTACATGTAAGAAGTGATTTTATCTTTCTTAATTTATTTAGTTGGTCTATCAAATAGATGGCTGGTCCTGACATTTTAGGAACTATAAACAATTTTGTAAAACTTTAATAAATTTTTTAAAAAAAATTGGAATCGAGAATCAACCCATAAAAAAACTTAGGAACCATAGGTCAATGTGTCATTTGCATATAAATAATTTATATGGCGCATAGGGCTCCAAGCCGAGGAGGTTGGAGCCATGCGCCATAGCGCTTCAAGGCACTCGCCTTATGGATAAGATGTATTCAAATGTGGGTTAGTAATATATAGCTATAGATGAACCTAGATATGCATTGCTAGTTGTTCCTAGGCTAGAAGTGTATGCATGTGTTAGCTATACAGATGTGTATCTATTTTTATGGTTACATACAGAAGATAGTTATAGAGTAGACAAGTACACAATACTACTATAGTCAGCTATACCAAATAGTCTTATTGTCCCCATCATCAGTCATGGTTGATTAAAATATGAACCTTACAGGGAAGATCGATCAATGACTTTGACTTAAAGGCAAAGAAGTACCCTTTGGTGTATGGAAAAACTGCATCAAATAACTGTACAGAGGAGCTAGCAAGGTAACTTGTAACTCAAGGGTTTGACCTAACTTGCGTATCAAGCATTAGATGGAACTTTATTTATTTATATGTATCCTATGCTTAGGGGTTGCGCCAGTGGTTGCTTGAACACAGTGAAGGGAAAGATTGTTGTGTGTGATGTTCCAGATAATGTTTCAGAACCACAATCAATGGGAGCTGTTGGAGTTATCCTTCATGTAACTGTTGTTGATTCTCCTGGTCTTGGTCCAATACCTGTAGCAACCTTAGATGATACCAACTATGATGCATTCAGATCTTACGTTCTCTCCTCGCCGTATGAATCTTTTTCTATAAACTTTGTGTGATATTAGACTCTTTTAAAGATAGTTAACACTTTCAGATATAATCAACAGAAACCCACAAGGAACTATACTGAAGACTAAGACAGTTAAAGACGACAATGCTCCGATTGCTGTTTCCTTCTCATCTCGTGGTCCAAACACACTCTTTAGTGACATTTTAAAGGTACCTACCACTCGATACAAAATTCACATAACTCTCGTCTGCAATTGTTGGACATTAAAAGATGAATATGTATGCATGCAGCCTGATATAACAGCTCCAGGAGTGACTATCTTAGCAGCATATTCACCCTTGGCTCAAACCGCACTTCCTGAACAAAGCGTGGATTACTATTTCATGTCTGGAACATCTATGGCTGCCCCTCATGTCGCAGGTGTAGCGGCTTACGTCAAAACATTCCATCCTGATTGGTCTGCTTCTGCTGTCAAATCTGCTATCATGACTACTGGTAATTATCAATATATATTTCCCTGAAGAAAGAATGTAAGTGATTTTAGACTTGTTCTTTTTGTTTTTGTTGCAGCTTGGGCAATGAATGCGTCCAAAAATGCAGAAGCTGAGTTTGCATACGGATCAGGACATGTTAACCCTACAGTAGCAGTTGATCCAGGGCTTGTTTACGACATATCCAAAGAAAATTACTTAAACATGCTCTGCTCTTTGGACTACTCAGCCAAAGGCATTAGTACTCTCGCCGGTGGAGGCTTTACTTGTTCCGAGAAATCAAAGCTGACCATGAGAAATCTCAACTACCCTGCAATGACAGCCAAAGTTTCAGCTTCTTCATCCTCAGATATCACATTTTCAAGAACGGTCACCAACGTTGGGAAAAACGGATCGACTTACAAAGCAAAACTGTCTGGTAACCCTAAACTCAGTATCAAGGTTGAGCCACAGACACTCTCTTTTAAGTCATCTGGGGAAAAGAAAAGTTTCACTGTTACAATCTCCGGCAAGAGTGTTGCACAAGTTTCTGGTATTGTGTCTGCGTCCCTGGTTTGGTCAGATGGATCACATAATGTGAGAAGTCCTATTGTTGTATATACTTAAGCATCAAATCCCAAAAAACAATAAAAGTATTTGATGTTATTGTCTGTATTCTATATCTGTTTACATTGCATGGTCCCAGACTGAGTCTCTAGTTATGATACAAAAAGGGTATCCTTGTGATGTAAATCAAATAAACTCTAGTTATCACCCTTCCCTGGAAACATTCCTTCCATGAATTCGTCAAAGTTTTCATCATCCTTGCCTTCTCTCTCACTACCACCCTCCTGCTTGGACTTGCTCTTCTTTCCTGCCATTATGAAAGACAATTTTATAATCCATAACCTTTGAAAAATCTGAACCAAGCCTCCTTCAATAGAATAAACATGCAAGATATTATGCTTGGTAAATTTCAGACCTTTTTTCCTTTCCTCTTCGTCTGTGTCATCTTCACTGCTTGATCGATTCCTGAATTTCAAATGAAAGTATTTAGCTTCACAGAAACCCAAAACCCTTAATTGAAGTATGATACTGATTTCATAATTCATTCTTTATCCATACCGTTTACGTTTCTGCTTTTTCTTTTCTTTACTCTCTGATCTTTCACTCTCCTTTCTTCTTTTGTAGTAAAGCTTCTCAGCACATCTAGTGACATTAAAAGAAAAAGAGGGTTGTCAAGCTTACTGAGACCCAAGCAAGTGGTATAAAAAAGCATATTAACAAAATAGTCATGGATACAAGTATGATCATGGCCGTAGGTACTCAAAATCCAAAACCACTGCTAATTTTTTTACTTCATAATGAATATAAGAAAAGGAGATGAACAGGCTTGTACAATGAATGCGTGTACCTCTCACAAGTTACGAGTTTTACAAGGGCCTGTTTCTGTTCTCCGGCTTCATGATAAGAAAAATTCACCTGCAAATCCAACAAGCTGAGTGAGATAACTCAGACACAAAACATCAGACCATTAATTGAGAAAATTCCTAAAAAATACATACCTCATAACTCGCTAACCCTTCTACTTCATGACACTGTTTGCTTCCACACATAAACTGCCCTGACAGAGAAGCAACGCATTTAAAACTCAATACTCTTATCAAAAGAAATTCACAAAAAATAAAAAATAAAAAAAATTGAAGTAATATAAACCTTTGCCTGACATTACTTCCTTTTCCGTTCTCCATCTTAAACCCATCTACAAACGTTCAAAATAAGTCCACTGAAAAAAAAAAAAGCAATATAGGAAACCAAAATGAGATGAAGTATTCATCCATACACCAGGTTTAGTTACCTGGCCAGTCTTGTATCTTGACATGTCAGCTATACAGTATCTTAAAACAGTTAAAGATATACACAGACATGAACTCATCCACACTCTCACAGAACACGTTATCTGTTAATGTAAGGGAATCATCTTAATGTGGTAAAGGATACTCCTTAAAAAGCTTATCATAGTATCGCTTCACCAGTCTTTGCTCCCACGAAGGGTTCAAATCATCTTCTTCTGAACGTATAAACCTTTTGCAAAACAAAAACAAAACCCGAAATATATGAGGAAGATACAAAAACAAAACCCAAGAAAGGAACATACAACAAGGAAGGCTCCAACATATACCTGTATCCTTCTCTAAGTGTGTCGTGGTCGGTTTTAACAGGTAACTTGACTTCTGTCGGCTTGTCCTTGCCATAAAAACGAACTGCAAAAGTAAACAAGCAAAAGATGATGAAACTACAAAGAAGGCTTTAATATACAAATAGACTCCACAACTAGTAGCTAATTAAAGGCAAAAGGAAGGATCTTTATCAAATGGGTACTAAACAAGAAAAGGAAAACATGTAAGGCTGACTGTAGCCTCCTTCCAGGCTCAGAGGAGAAGACTGTTCATCAACCATATTTTTGATTTTGGGACATTATATTGATTCGGAGTAAATAGAAAAGCTCTCTTATTTACCCCTCAATTAGTTTGTCCCTAAAGCATATTTTAAAAACTAAACACAAGGGAAAGAAGGGTACCGTAGTCTTTCAAGAACTTCTTGTGTCGTTCATAAGCGTTCAGACCACGAATGTGCGCTTGGTATTGCCTGTATATAGACACGTTTGTTGAGCAATGATATTGAATAAAGAAAAAACGAGTGGGAGAGAGACATAGAGAGAGATTAACTGCTTGCGTTCTTCTCTGTCGTAAATTTCAGATCTGATTGTTGCCGAAGAAGTCATATCTGCCGATGTCGTCCGATGAAGCTATGCTAGTCGTAAACCTGGAATTTATTAAGAGCTCTCTCGGGTCTCTTGCCGTATTATAATGGGCTGGGCCTAATGCACTATGATTATGGGCCTTTGTGTTTAGATATAAATGGTATCTAATTTCTTTCTTTTTTTTTGATAAAAACACTCAATGTTTTTTTATTAGCAGTATGATAAATTTGGTTCTTGGTTCACATATTAAAATAAGTTTTTAAGAAAAATTGGTTATTGTTGTGCAATTATTGTTGGAACTTGTTTTGACAATGTGGTATAGAATATTTGATTTTGGGGTTTCTGATGTAGATGTACGTCCAAATAACGGGAATCTAAATATGATGTGATCCTCACCTTCAGCGTTATGACGTATAGTATATATTCACAACAAATGTTAGAACAACCCATTACACAAGACACTACTCAATCTCCAGTCTTGACACTAGGATTAATTTATGCAGCTTCAAGCAAATTTTATTCCAGTTTGACCATATACCTCTCGGAAGATTTTGTAGAGAATGCCTTCATGTCGAATTGTCGATCATTGCGAATTTGCGATGATGGTTATATTTTTTGGACAGTAGGATTGGATGTACTGGGTCCATCTCTAGGATTTCACTAAAATTTCCTTTTTATTATAAATTAAGAAAATAGTAAATCTTTCTTTTTATTAAATAAATGATATATTGCATAATAGATTTCCTTGTTGGAATTTGCTTTGGTCCTATATGAAATCAATTTCATGTACTATTCGGCTCATACACGAACGCACCAAGAGGTAAACTTTCCTTTTTGATATCGATTTTATTTATCAATAAGCAAATATTAAATCTTTCTATTTTATTAAATAAAAGATATAATGCAAAATCACTTTCCTTATTGGAATTTGCTTTGGTCCTATAAATACAAACACAGTTAGCAACTTAGCATCATAACAAAAAAAAAACGATTAATTTCTCCAATAATGAACACCTTACCTGGACATCTCCTAGACAAGATTCTCTTCAAGACAGATCACAGAGCTCTGGCTATGTTGTGTTGCACAAATACATCACTCCAATCGTATATACAAAACTCTTCTTTTGTATCTCAATACAATTCTCAGATCAAATCCAGTTTGCTTCATATCTCCACTTTTGGCTCACATTCCCTATCCTACCACCACCCTCACGACGGTTCTAGGTCACTGAAAACCAAAAAACTCTCAACGATGTGTCATATTTTGGGATTCTGCTCAGGCCTTCTTCTACTTTTCATTGATGATCGTCTATGCGTGGCAAACCCCCTCACCAAGAAGTTTCGGTTCTTGACTTTGTCTGATCCTTGTCCTCAAAGACTTGTTCGTCAAGAAAATAGAAACCAACTAGGGCTCGCGGTTAATCAGATTGATCCAACCACACAGAGTTTCAACGTCGTCTATATATTTGAGGTGGAAAGAACACACGAGACGAAGTATGGTTTCGAGATTAACGCTGGAATGAACTCGTGGACATGTTCAAAAACTACACTTACTTGCCACTCAAGCAATCTCGATGGCCGTATGAAGAGCCCTCTTTACTTGGACGGGTCTCTTCACTGGCTAAGAAACGACGGAAGCATCATATCTTTCAACCCCAAAACAGAGAAAGCACGATTGATACAAATTGAATTCCCTCATGGACTGACTTCTAGAACACTCTTTGCACCAGGAGGTAATAGCTTGACTTTGGTATCATTGATGGACGAATTCATTTACGTTTATGAACTCAAGGACATTCTCGTTGATCCAAAGTGGGTCCTCGTGAAGCAGATCAAGAACGGATTGATCGACAAGAATAGAGTTAATAACTGGTACATAGATGCTTACAACGGAAAGTGTTTAGTGTTACGAAGTGTTTATGATGGAGTAGTTCATGTGTATGACTTGAGTGCTGACAAGTGGGTCATCATGGGTTCGGTTCAAGGGTGGTGCGATGCAAATCAGGATTTTTATCTGTTCACACCGTCCTCGTCTTTTGTGGTAAGACTTGATGAGATAGTGAATTGTGGTGATAGAAGCATCTCCTCTCTAAGATCGATTATGACACTGATTGATGGAAGCTCACCAGAAAATCAACTTAAGAAAACGTCGGTTGAAGGAAAAGAAGATGAGAGGATATTACTATTGGAAATGTTATTGCATGAGCAAAATACTAACAAAAAAAGAAGAGTGGTGTAGACACATACGTATTATGTGAGGAACATGTGTCTTTTGGTGATTTGGTTACTTTCCATGTTTTATTTTCACTGTGTGACTATGTTTGTGTAGTTGTTTAAATTTTGAAAGTTTTCATTTAACTAGTTCTAGATTGAACTTACTCAACCAACCAAAAATTTCAACATATCATAGCCACCGGTTGTTCAATCTTTCAACACATAGAAGTGCTCTAAATCGTAGAATAAAAAAGTAATCTCACACAACCGGAGCCCAAGGAAACAATAATTTTATTATGTGTTTGTATTATAGACCTCGGTATTTTGGTATGGGTTCGGGTATTCCAAATATCGGATAGTTCATATAAGGGTTAAAGGATCAATTTTGTTTTGGATTCGCTCTCATTTGGTTTTGGTTAGAATAGTTTGGGTAATTCGGGATAAAAAATAAATATATTATCGAATAATTAGGATAAGATTGATAAAAATTTCCAATAGTTTAGAACATTTTGGATATTTAAAATAAAAATATCTGGATACTTTCGATATTTTTGAATAGTTTAGATATTTTATAATTATTATTATTTCAACTATTTTCGAATATATTTAAGCAAAATTATAAATTATAAATATATAGTTGTATTATGTGTATATTTCATATACTCAGGTATCTGTTCGGTTCTCAATTCAGATTCAGGTTCTCAATCCAGATTCGGTTTGACTCAGTTATTTTCATATCCAAAATGTTTGAGAGTTATAGGAAATATTATGGTTTCGGGTATTTGGGCACGCAGCAGCATCTCTTGTTATCACACATTAACAGAAGGATTATGGTTATATATATTCTTTGATTGACATCAATCACAACTTGACAAGAACCAACGAAAATTCATCAAATATGAGAGAGAATTATGCATTCTGATTTATAGAACACTAACACACTATTGTTTCAAACAATCTGAAAATCTGGACAGAAACTGACACAATAACAACCAAATCCTACGAAACCTAATTAATAATAGGACAATGAATGTTCCCAATGGTAAAGACTTTAATAGAAGTACAAACACCGTTCTCAGGAAAGTTACACAAAGAGCCGACAATAGGCTTAAACCAACCATAATTAAATCTTAAGCAAGAGGTTCCGTGAATTCCTTCTCTGATGTGTTTTCGAAGTAGCCTTCATCTTTCACTTCTTTCTCTACCTTGAATATCTCTGGATCATCGAAACCTGTACACAGTATTCTCTTATATATATACAAAACCTCGCAACTCGTAAAAAAAGAAAATCAGAATGTGTGAGGATACTCTTTTCTACCTGACCCCAAGTCATCTGTTTCATCGGTAATTGGTAGAGGTGTCCTCTTAACAGACTCGAGTGACTTCCAGTCCGAACTTCCATTTTCTTCTACACAAGACTCGTCTCTAGAAACCCATTCTTTAAGAACATCCATCCTGCTGTGTGATAACGGGTCTACTGTGTCATCTCCGCTTTCAGAATCCCTAGAGAAGATAGATAATTGTTTATTCTATCCTTTTCCAACTCCATGGAAACAAATGTTTTAGCTGCGAAAGGGAAAAGATCAAATGACTTACAGTTGTTTGAGGCGCATGTTGTACTGAACAAACACAAGATCGCTGAGCCTTTTTTGCTCAATAGAGTTCTTTGACTGGTATATTTGTTCAACCGGTATCAGGTTTCTCCTGCATCCAACTGATGAGCTGCACGTCTGACTAAGAATACGTATCGCAAAACGTGAGAGGTTCAAGCAGCTTTCTCCATACGTAGACCACCACTCAGCTGAAGAGACCATCCATATGAAAAGAGTCAAGTTATAGAAGTTACAAGAGGAAAAGAAATTACACAAGATTAAAACGTACCAGGAAGCATTGTGTCCCGAGCTCTGATTGCCAAGTTCCTTCCAAAGACACCAACAGCATTCTTGTAAGAGTTCAACTCCTTACTGATCTTATCTTGAACGGTGATATCAGGAACCAAATTCTCGATGCAGTCAACCAGAAACGAGATGACCTCACTACGCATTTCTTCACTGGCCGTGTAGAAGAACTTAGGGTTGAGAAAGAAACCAGCACCATACAAATGAACATGACGTTGTTGCTCCCACCATTGATCTATGATTCTCCAATAAACCATGTAATCCTCCTTGTTAACCAAATTTCTCTTGATAGCTTCCTTTGCTCGGTACAGTGCTGCATAGACATACCCCATCGCAGGCCTCTTCTCAGAACAAGCTATCTTCAAAACCCGTAACAGAGGACCAACCAAATCGTTCACCGAAGCTACTGCCGTCCAAAATGTTTCATCATCGATGGTAGCAGTCATATCCAATCCGGTTTCTTCTTTCAGATATACACATTCCTTCCACTCTGGTGAAGTAACCATAGCTTGTAGATTGGACTTGAGCTCAGCTATTCTACTCAACGTAGCAAAATTTGCTGCAGAAGCGCTGAATAATGGCTCTATGATATCATTGCCACAAGTAAACTTCCACATTATATTCAAAGCATCACTACGGTTGTAAATGAATCTTGTGATACCTCGAGCACGCTCTATAGTCTCACTTACCCCGACAAGCTTCCCGAACTCATCAAGCATGTTATCTAAGCAATGTGCAGCGCTAGGAACCCAATATAAAGAGCCATACTCGCTCATCAACTTTTTCCCAGCAGCAGCGTAGTGATCATCGGAGTTTGTAATCACTTGAACAACATGTGTACTACCAACTTCTTCAACCACGTCCCTAAGTAGCTCAAACAACTTATCAGCACAAGTTATTATCTCAGAAGCGTCCACGGATTTCAGAAAGACTGTCTTTTCAGGACAGTAAACCAAAAAGTTAAGCACTATAAGGCCTTTATCAGAGGTCAATTCTTCCACCAGAATAGAACAGCCTGTCCTCTTCCACATCGCTTTGCACTCATCAACTTCTCTCGTTGTTTCTTCTACACAACTCTTCAGTATCCAACTTCGAAGGTCATCACGCGTCGGCGCAGAGACACCATATCCTCCAAAGGCGATGGCATCAAGCATTGGTTGGAAATTAGCAGAGCTCACCGCATCAAAATCAGCTCCAATACCAAACAGAAACCGTCCCACCGCCATGTGAACTGCGTTCTCCCTATCTGGATGCGCAATGTTCTTCACGCTACTAATCGCCACAGGAACCAAATTATTATCCAAGTCTGTAGTACCAATCATCAAGCCATTGTTGTTGCTCCCACTACCATTCTCAAACACAGTCTTCTTCCTCCTGTAAGGCCTCTGCTTCGTCCTAACACCACCAGACTGCCCCTCAGCTACATCACTACTTCCCGGCGGCGACGTAAACCCATTGTTGACATCAGACTGAACCACCATCATCGCCGTCTCTCCTTCACAAGCAGGCAAAGCAAGTGCAGCTGCAGATAAAGGCGAAGGCTCAGCTGAGCTCGAATGTCGTCTCTTCCTCTGACGTCTAACAGTTCCTTCGATACACTGCTGCAAGAAAAGCCTAACATCTTCCGGAACTTGGTCACAGATCACTCCTTGTCCCTTGATACCAGCGAGATGCTCCTTAACTCTTGTGATACCGCCTCCTTTGAACATTTTGCGGCAGTAGAGACACCTCATCTGAAGCCTGTCGCCGTATTTGTAGATTTCACAGTGCTTCCACGCATTGTCTTGCTTCTGAGGTGTTAGAGCTACAGGTTCAAGCTCCGGCTCCATTGCTTGGTTAAGAATAAAAAGGTAGAGACTTTGTTAATGGGTATTGAATTCACCAAGAAAAGATTAAAGCTTTAGGAAATTAAAAAAAAAAAAATCTCGTAGAACAACCCTAACATCTGCAACAACAGCTTGTAAATTATTTATTTCGACAAGACAAGATCTCAATACATTAAAGCAGTCTTGTAAGAACAAACCCCATGCAAACACAGGGCCAGATTAGACAATTATGAATAAAAGAGAAAACCGATGTAAGAAGAAGGAAGGAAGGAAAAAATAAAAACGAACCTTTTTTTTTCTGGTTTGCAGGTAGGCGCGGCCGGTTACGGAGAATCGGTTACGGGGGAAAAGAGGGGAAATACGGTACAATTGATTCGGTTCTGGAGAATAGGAAGGTGGAAAAGGTAGGAGATGAAGATACCGGAGGAACGGCGGAGAGAATCGGAGGAGGATAGGGTATATCTGGGGGAAATTGAAGCCGGCTCGTTTAGGGTTCGAAGGGAAAAAAAAAATAGGTTTGGCAGCTTTTCTGGTTTATGATGATGATGTGCCTTATAAATCTACCAAACTCTTTATTTTTGCTAAAGTTTGTTTTCCGTTTTTTTTTTTTATTATTTCCTAAATTACCAATACGCCGTCGTTTAGTTTTAGGGTATTTTTAATATGAAACGATATCGTTTTGCTTCTTCTTCGATTTGGAACAGAACCTCGTCTTAGTTGTCTGTCTCTGATCTTGTTGTTCCTCCCTCCTCCACGTAGAACAGTGTTGGGGTTGGGTTGAATATGTTGTTTTTGTCATCTTAAATCTCAAATAAAAAACTTTATGTAAGAGACACGTCTTCTTCTCTGAAACAAAGCGGCATTTCTTTGCTTTCGTTGAGGCATTTCGTCGAACACTTAGACGACGACTTCTATATAAACATCTTTCTCTCGTTTGCCTTGAAATGGATAAGCTTCTTGAGAATCATCAGTTTGCGACTCACGCTATCGCAGCATCGGCCTCTGTATCGCTAGGAACTGCTCTCTCTTACCCTCTAGATACCATCAAAACCATCATCCAGGTTTCTTTCTTCTTCTTCTTCTTCTTCTTCTTCTTCTTCTTCTTCTTCTTCTTCTTCTTCTTCTTCTTCTTCTTTGATCGAATTGGATTCTCTGGGGAGATTGATTGTTGCAATTGAAATGCAGGTTGGTTCAGGACCCAGTAAGAAGCTAAGCGCATCTCAAGTCGTGAACAGAGTTTTCAGCTTCTCTGGCTATTCAGGTTTCGCAAAACTACTCTTTTGATTCCAATCAATCTAAAAAACGATGTTTGTTTTGATTGGTTGTGTCTTTTTGAACATAAATGCAGGTTTGTACAGTGGTCTTGGATGGTTAACTCTGGGAAGAATATCAGGTGTTGGTGCGAGGTTCGGTGTCTATGAGATTCTCACAGCTTTCTACAAAGGTATTACGCATATTCTTGTCTCCTTTCTGCTTAATGTAATAATGTGTATGGTTCAAGACTTGGTGTTGCAATTTGCATCTAGATCTCTGTCAAGAATAGATTATGCTTAGCGTGTAGCAGTATTCAAGTCCATCAGGTGTGTGATTCAAGGTTAGGTTTTGCATCTAGCTCTTCTCACTTAACCCGAGAACGTTAAGTTCATTTGCACCTTATTGCCATCGTTCATAGATTATGCTAAGAGTATGTAGCAGTATTCAAATCCATTCATTTGCACTCATAGTTGACTCCTTTCATTCTTTAGAATCTGGTTACTGCATTTACTTGTTTTTTTGCTCTAGCGAAACTTTTGTCATGAAGAATCTTGGAATCGTTCTTATATGAACTCCTTTTGTTCCAGATGGTCGACATGATAACTATGTGCAAGTCAGTGAAGCTGTTCTGGCTGGGATGGTGGGAGGTGCAGCAGAAACAGTGATGACTTCTCCCTTTGAGCTAATCAAAGTCCGACAACAAGTTACTGCTGCTTCACGGGCTCCAGCTGCTGCAAAATCCGCACCAGTGGTTTCACCAATGATCACAAAGCTACTAAGGAGATACACTCTTGATGTAAAGTCACTGACACAAACAGTCAGTCTCTTATCCGTCTTAAACCATAAACACCCAAACATGACAGCCGCTTTGCAAGAGTACCCATGGATGATGACTGGAACAGGGAATCCACCATCAGCCATGGATGTTAAGAGACCGTTGGACGTTGCATCACTTGAAGGATGGAGAGCGTTATGGAGAAATCTACGTTCGGGTCTTGTTAGAGATTGTCTTTACGGTGGAGTGTTCTTCGGGACATGGCAGTTTCTTCACGAGGCAATGATTGGTTGGAAAGCTGTCGGAATGAATCCTCTGCCCAGGTACTTAAAAATTCTATGCCCACTTGAACTTGAGTTTTGATCACAAGTGTAGTGATGGTTTAATAAATCTGCTAAAATTGTTGAGTTCAGTTCAGAAGAAGAAGTTGGACCTTTATCTCCGGTAGCTATGAGCATTGCCGCTGGGTTTTCCGGTGCCATTGCAGCTGCAGCGTCTCATAGCTTTGACACAGCGAGAACACGTGCACAATGTGTAATATTGCCAAAGGTAAACAAAATAATCCATAGCTTTTACATAATCTTATGAAAGTCCTGCTTGTTTATGTTTGGTTCTTTTGACAGTATACAGCAAAAGAGAGGAAGTTTCTGAAATGGAATAAACCGGGAAAGAGATTAGAGAGATGGACAGGAATCCATCCTACAGACAGAAACTTATTGTTCCGAGGAATTGGGATTAGGATGGCTAGAAGCTCCATTGCATCTACCATTATCGTTGGAAGCTATTACCTAGCTGTGGATTTATTGGTTCCAAAGTGATAACAGGAACCACACACAATCTACCTTTCCATCCTTCCTTGAATCGATAAGACAAACAATACCTCAGTTTTTTTTTTTTTGTAGTGTAGCTTTCGTTTTGTTATGCAATAAAATGAGGAACATTTGTGTTTATGCTTCCAATTATGTTCGTTTGAGCTGTGTAGATGTAACATTAACATTCAAGCAATTACAGCATGTAATACATGTGGAGGTTCTAATATATCAAATGATTAAGAACATATAAACTCTTATCAGTAATTAGTGACTGAACATGTTACGCAAGATCATGAAAATAACAAAAAAAAAAAAATAGATCAAATTTCAATTTTAATACAAATTAAAAGAATTTTGTTCAACAAAGGAGTTTAGGGTTTATCACAAAGTGGAAAGCTTTTGTTCAAGAAATGTAAGATTGATCATTTTCTAACCGAGATTTTGATCAAAGCTACTTAGAATGGATCTCTGGAACCTAACAAAGCTAACCAAAATGCAAGGTAGACATTACTAAAGGAAGCAAAGAGGCAATCAAAATAATCAAAAACTCCCGAACATTAATTGCAACAAAAGTCTTTCACAATCCGAAAGAGGATCTACATTGTTCTCCATATGAACCCTAGAAACTAATAATACAGTTGAAGAAGCAAAACAAGAATGTTCATCTTTCATACCCGAGAGTTTTGGATTAAAGCTACTTCAAAGAGATACAATTGTGTTAATGCCTCATATTATATACTCTTTTGATGTACATGTTGCATTACAGCTAAGAAATTACAGGATGAAACACATTTCACAGGTTCTATTACAAACAATATCAAATGAAAAAAGAATTTATTCAGAAACCTTAGTGATTGATAATCTGCTTCAGGATCATGATTTAATGAAAATCATTTTCAAACAAAGTTTAACTAAGTTGAATGTCTGTAATCTAATAAACCCAATCAAAAAATGATTAAGAACTTATAAACCCTATCAGTGACTAGTGATAGAACATGATCATGAGAACAGCAAAAATTTAGATAAATTTCAATTTTACTACAAATGGAAAGACTTTAGTTCTACAAAAGTGTAACGGTTAATCAAAAAATGGGAGACTTTTGTTCAAGAAATGCAATATTGATCATTTCTAACCGAGATTTTGATCAAAGCTAGATACACATTACTAAAACTCAAAATTATCACAAAATCCTAAGCAAATCATTCAGTGGAAGCAAAGAGGTAATCAAAATGCAAAATAGAATCAAACTCCAAAACACAAATTCCAACAAAAGTCTTTCATAATCCAAAACAGGTTCCAAATTGTCCTCCATATGAACTAATAGCAAGCTGTTTTAAATATTGGATACGAAAACGCAACAACAACAAAACAAAAAACCTCAAACCGTTTCTTCCGACAAGAACTCCTTCAGAACCTAAGCTTGGTAAAGAACCACCTGTTCTTCCCAGTCTTGAAACGCTCCTCGAGCTTAGCCTTCGCCTCCTTGAGAGCAGCGACCTTCTTGTCCTTGGAAGCCAGAGCCTCGAGAGTCGCCACTTCCTTGAGATCCACGTCAAGAGTGTAACGAGTAGGCATCAGATGCTGGTAGTTAACGACCTTGATGAAACACTTAACCCTAGATTTCTTCGCCGTCTTCTTGGCTGAGTCTTTGCGGATGACCTTGCTCGGGTACTTCTTGAGTCCGGCCACGAGGCAGTGTCCGTAAGGACGCTCACGGTTTCCGTCGTCGAAGGAACGGATGATGACGGCTTTCTTTCCGGCGTATCGGCCTTGGAGGAGGATCACTGCCTTGTTCTGCTTCAAGAACTTCACCATTGTGTCTTCACTTGTGTAGATCTCTCTCTCTCTCTCTCTCTCTCTTTTGTCTTCGTTACCGCCGCTGAAAACCCTAAGTGGAAATGTTAGGTTTAATAGTTGATAAAGAAACTCAGTGGAGGATGAAAGAGTGAAAACAAAACCCTAGCCCAGTAGAAAAAGCCTCTAATTTCGTTATTAAGCCCATTGGGCTCAATGACAAGGTTCTTTCGTTTTGTTTCTATTGTGCTCACAACGAATCAAATCAATTATACTATACTAACATTTTACGGAACTGTCATCATCTCATTCCATTTTTTGTGCTAAAATCATATCTGTTATGGTGTGTCAAATAAGTATCTGAGTTGAATACAACGAAGAAAGTAATTTGGTGCATAAATGAATAAGATTGCTTATGTTCGATTTTCCACACATCCAAAAAAAGGAGTTTGAGTAAGATTAAATATTTCCCTCAAAACATTAACAAGAGATTTTGATCTTCAACAAGAGTGATACTTTAATAGCATGGTCGTCCCGGATTTGACATGCTAAACTTAATTTAGATTTAGTAAACAGAGATATGATATTTGGCTGAATAACATGTCGTGATTATATTTTTATACATAACACTAACTTGGTACAAAACTATGTTCTTGCGTCTAAAGCATCACTTATCACAAGCATGATTAGTGATGTTTGATGTTGTTATAGACAACTTAGTAAAATAATTATATACAAATTTTTATTTTTTTTACAAGTTTGAAGTATGTATAATTTTTTGGAACTTTTGAAATTCAATGCTCAGGACCAACCATGATCACCAGAGAAGCTTGGCTCATAATATTCTTTTATTAATCGATAATTCATGCACATTTACTCATATATTCTCACCCATGTTCACTCAGCATAATTCAGCCAGGTGTAAGGGTGCGGGTGGTAACTCCAGATCTTCGAAAGCTTATGGAATTAAGTATCTAGCATTTTCTTTTTGACTAAAAGTATCGAGTATTTTTTTTTGTGAAACATTAGACTGGAAACTCTTTTGTACTTGCAGATATATATTTCTATAGTTATGCTTAGATATGTCAGTACATTTATAATTGTCAATTTCATGCTTGACTTTGTAATTACTACAGAACTATAAGAATATCTCGAACAAACTTCCAAATCTTCAAAATTTGAAGTTATATGTTCACCAACAAATTTACATATCTTTTAATTTTAAGAGTCTGAGTAGTAAAACCTCAAAATATTGATGATCTGAATAATATAATCTCAAATTTAAAGTTCATTATCAAAAACTTCAAAATACTTTTTACGTCATACAATTTTGTAATTTACATAATTCCACTAATATTGATTTTATTTTAGTTTATAATTATATTTTAGTTGAATATTCAAATATAAATTTATGTATATTTTATTAGTAGTACATCAATATATACACATGTGAAAGCTAAAATCAAAATTACTAATATAAAAAAATACTATGTGGATGTAATTGAACCTATTTGTATTTTTTTCTAGCTGATACATTTTTTACAAAAATTAAGGATTTGTATTTGATGAAACCAAAATATCTTTATATGATTTATAAATATTTTATTTTGTATTTTTACTATTTCTTATTGTTATTTTAATTTTTTTAGCGTTTAAAAATTATTCTTCTTAAAATTGAGGATTATAATGTTATAGAAACTTTTTTAAAGACTTATTTGAATTTTTTTGTCAGAGAAATTCACCCTCAAATTTTTATTTTAAAGATCACTCTAAATAAATATTTATGGAATTTGAAATTTATTCATATTTAGATTTTTTTTTTTTTGTAAACTGATATTATTTTTTATATTTAGAAATTCTAATAAGACAATTTAAAACTTCACGTGGCCGAGACCGAGTATATCGTGTCCGCGCTATATTTATGTAATTATATAGGCCATATGAGGTCAAACGGAACCGACCGGATGAAATCCATTCACATGGACCATATAACTTGTCACAGCAGTTACTTATTTTTAAATTCTGGTCTATATTCATTTAAGTTATTGTTCATCTCTATGCATCTGACTTTTAATGGTTGAGTTTCAGCCAAGGCATAACATAAAGTTAAGTGGGGAAAACATTATTGGAATCAAATATAAAGAGGTTATAATATAATATATAGTTAGTGGGTGTGTTATGTTACCTACAAATTACCAAAAACAAAATTTAAAGTTATCCAAAACAGTTACATGAAATATACAATAAACACGAACACATCCACTTGGCTTGTAAGTATATATCGAAAGTGACAAGTAGAAATAGATATGATAGCTTTTCGTAATCATCAAATATATTATTGATTTTATATATGATATATGAATTTAGTGTTGATTGAAATTCAAGAAAAAAAATCGGAAAGTAGAATATTTTACTTTTGAAATTTTGTCAACAAAAGAGAATTTTAGTGACACAAAAAATTTGCGAATATAATTTTCTTTAATATAATCAAAAGGGAAATAAAAAAAAACATAAACTAATATTACTATTTTTAGTTTAATTTTACAAGTACTGTTTTACGAAAAAGAAATGAATTATTCGGACAAGGTGATGATGTGTCGATGTTACGCACAGAACAAATAAAAAGACTCATCCTTTCCTCTCTCTTCTCGAATCTCTTTTCTTCTTCTTCAGGGAGAGATGTTTCCTCCAACTTTCCTATGAAACTCTTTTTTTTTCTCCTCTCTTCAATTTCCCCGGAAAATCAGGAAACTTAGATATTTGAGCTGATTTTTTTTACCTTTTTCTTTTGTTTAGCTATCATCTTGTTTGACAAAGCAGCCTCAGCTCTAGAGAGATATATAGTTGATTCGATTAAGATTCGCTTGTTTTGTTTTGCGGTCTTATTTGTAGATCATGGAGAGATCTGATTCTAGAGATCTCTACTACAACTTAGCTCGAGCTTCTTCATCAAGTGAGTTCCTTTTTCTGATTCAGTTGCTAAGTTTTGTCCTTTCTTCATTTAGATTTGAGGTTAAATTAACATATGTTGTTTGTCTCAAAAGCTATTAAAAAAAACAGAGGATTTATGCTTAATATGCTCTGTTTTGTTACAGAGCTTTAGTTTCTACTTAGCTCATGTGTCTAATGAAACCGGATCTGTTATTGTCTTGTGCAGGTAATAATAATAAGAGCACACTCTTTGACGCATCTCAATATGAGTTCTTTGGTCAAAGTCTTGAAGAAGTTGAATTGGGAGGTCTTGATGATGATGGTACTTCTGTTATTGGACATGCTGATGATGGTGGTGATGGGTATCACCTGTTTGATAAAAGAGAGGTAAATTTTGGATTTACTTCTTTTGCTATGTATGAGAGAGTTTAACGGTCTTTTAGAGATGAAATAATTGTGTGTGTTAAAAACATCTACTTGTGGTTTTCACAGGGTGCAGGTTTGGGATCATTGTCTGAAATGGATGATCTTGCCACCACTTTTGCAAAGGTTAGCTTATTGTTCCTTGTTTACAATCATGACGTTAATAGTGACAAGAAAACTAAAGTTGGTTAGGTACTCCTAAAAAGTTATCATTGTAGCTTGTTCTTACTTGGTTATTTTATATTGTTTGGTTTAATCTTTTGCAGCTAAACAGAGTTGTTTCCGGGCCCAAACACCTTGGAGTAATTGGTGACAGAGGATCAGGTTCCTTTTCAAGAGAAAGTGAGTTTATTACCTAACTCTGGTTACTTCTTGTTCTTATGTGTTTTGTCCTTATTACATTGCAATTACAAGTCTACAAGATTCAATGAATTCTAAAATCACTTTTATTATCTTCAGGTTCTACTGCTACAGATTGGACACAGGATAATGAGTTCACAAGCTGGTTGGACCAGCAGACGCTTGAAGAACAAGCACAGGAAGCTAGCTGGTCTTCACAGCTACAATCATCACCTAACTCAAACTCTTTGTACAGGACATCCTCATACCCTCAGCAGCAACCACAGCTGCAGCATTACAATAGCGAACCGATCATTGTACAAGAATCTACCTTCACCTCTTTTCCTTCACCTGGAAACAGAATCCAACAATCTTCACCGAGCCATATACATCGTGCTCCTTCTCTTCCTGGTGGTAGTCAGCTGAACCTGCCTGCACCAAATGTCTCTTCTCTGTCAAACTCTGCGTACCATCTTTCAGGATTGTCACAAGGACCGTCACACTACAATAATAACTTGGCTAGGTACGCCTCATGTGGTCCTACTCTTGGTAACACGGTGCAAACTCCTCACTGGGTTACTGACCCTGGCCTTCTCCACGGTGACCGCTCCGGGTTGTTACACAGTCTAGTACAACAGCAACAGCAGCAGCAGCAGTTGCAACTTCCTCCTCGGAATGGTTTTACTTCACAACAGCTGATCTCGCTTCAGCAGAGACAATCTCTAGCTCATCTCGCTGCGTTACAGTCTCAGCTGTATACCTCATGTCCTTCCCCATCGCGTCAAGCTTCTTTGGGGGTTAATGAAGTAAGGGAACACAAACATAAGCCGTCTCATAGGAGTCGAAAGAACAGAAGTGGAAGCCTCTCCCAACAGGCATCTCTGTCCAGCCAGAAAAGTGAAACCGGACTTCAGTTTAGATCAAAGTACATGACGTCAGAAGAGATTGAGAGTATCCTCAAGATGCAGCATTCCAATTCACACAGTAGTGACCCTTACGTCAATGATTATTACCACCAAGCTCGACTCACCAAAAAATCTGCCGGGTCTAGACCAAAGGTTCAGTTCTGTCCTTCTCATTTGAAAGACCATCAATCTCGGTCTCGTAACAGTAGCTCAGATCAGCAACCACAAGTCCACGTGGATGCTCTTGGAAAGATTACTCTTCCTCATGTTAGCAGGCCACGTGCTTTACTAGAGGTTGACTCTCCTCCTAACCATAAGCGATCCGAGAAGCATCTGGAGGAGGAGCCTCTTGTTGCAGCTAGAGTCACCATTGAAGATGCTTTTGGAGTTCTTATAGATATAGTTGACATTGATAGGACTCTCCAATTCAACCGACCACAAGACGGTGGCTCTCAGCTCATGAGAAAGCGTCAGCTCCTCCTCGAAGGCTTAGCAACGTCTCTCCAACTTGTTGATCCCTTCAGCAAAACCGACCAGAAAACCGGTTTGACTGCCAAAGACGATATTGTCTTTCTACGCATAGTGACTCTTCCCAAGGGGAAGAAACTGCTCACAAAGTATCTGCAGCTTCTTGTCCCAGGCACTGAGATTGCTCGTGTTGTCTGCATGGCTGTGTTTCGCCACCTCAGGTTTTTATTCGGTGGCCTACCTTCAGATACAGTTGCAGCAGAGACGATAGGTAGTCTCGCTAAAGCGGTTACGGTTTGTGTCCAAGCGATGGATCTCAGAGCATTGAGTGCTTGTCTTGCGGCTGTTGTCTGTTCTTCAGAGCAGCCACCTCTCCGTCCAATAGGAAGTGCTTCCGGAGATGGAGCATCAGTTGTGTTGGTGTCTCTTCTTGAGAGAGCTGCTGAAGTAGTTGCAGGACGTGTCAAAAACTCGAGTGATGGGCTCTGGAGAGCCTCGTTTGATGAGTTCTTCACACTTTTGACCAAATATTGCAGGAGTAAGTATGAGACGATACATGGTCAGAACCAGGAGAATGCAGCTGCTGATGTGTTGGAGGCAGCTATTAAGAGGGAAATGCCTGCTGAGCTTTTACGTGCAAGCCTACGTCATACGAATGAAGAGCAGAGGAACTTTTTACTAAACTTTGGTCGTAAAGCTTCTTCGCCACCTGTGAGTGAGTTGAAAACCGGTGCAAGGAGTGGCGGCCAGGTTAACTCTGAGTCTGTGAGGGCTTAACTTTAACCATATATATAAGAAAGAAACTGTGAGAACATGGATTCAGGTGATAAAATGTTGTTTTATTTTTAGATTGTACGTTTTAGATCTCTTTAAACTTGGTATGGTTGCGTATGGAAGGAATGGGTAAGAAACATTGAAACTGGGAGTTGGTAAAAAAACCTAAGTGAAATCCTCGGGAGCTGAATTTTTTGGTGCTCTGGTGATGGAGACTCCTATTTGTATGCTCATAGGGTTTGGAAGGAGACTAGTGTTTGTGACTCTGTACAGACTGATGGTGAATGGTGATGACGCAAGAAGATGATGATGGGTGATGGTGATGGTGATGGTTTGATGTGTGCAGGAGCTAAGAGGCTTTTTGTTGTCTTAGCATCTTGTGGGTCTGTGTTGATTTATATGTGTGTGCATTGTGTAAAAGGAACGCATAGTCTTTTTCTAAAATGTTGTTTCTGTTGTAACCAATGAACCGTTATTACGCTTACACAAACCTTTGAATTGTTTTCGTGTTTATACGTCGTATGTGTTTGGACAGAGGTTAAGTCCAAATGTATTATGTTCTTTCGTAAGCAGTTGGAGACTTTGAAATGTATTACGCTAACACAAACCTTGCAGACTTGTAGTGGCTAAATCTTACAAAAGCGTAAGCTCATCCTCTAAGCACAAAACCTAGGGATGTCTCTTAGGGGACATGTGTGAATCGCACACATGGTTACAGGAAGTGGTAGGAACTAAGCCACGTGAAGCATGTCCTGTTCAAGTTTTGCTAACATGCCACGTGCGCTTAAGCTGTCTCTTTTTCACTTTCTTATCTTACCTTTAATACAAGAAAAGGACAGAGAACCAAGCCGGGTGGGACCTGTGGTCTGCATGATTGATCTATTTTTTTCTTTCTCGAATTTTGTTTAGATAGGTCCCTTAAGTCCAAGTGTACTTTCACCAAGATTATATGACTCGTTGTACTTTCTTTGTTGTTGTACTACTACTGTCACCAATCATTGTAATTTCCCAATGTACTCTTATTTACTCTTGGCCGGAAACCAAGTGTACTATAAATATATGCATTTAGGGTTTTGATCTTTATTTATTTGGAGACATGTGTGCCTGAAACCAGATAGTAGAAACTAAGAGGCTAAGAGCCATTACTTGGTAGTCAAACAAATCATACAGCTTGACAATACTTGACCAGGAATCATACCAGAATGAAATTTTATTGCCCTCCACTTTCATTTTGTGTAGCTCTTTAGCCTTATCTCGAAATTTCAATAGTTTGTGCCATATCCACTGAAGTTACTGAAGCAAAAAGTGAGATAAAATAGCGAGTGAATTTCAGTTGAAGTAATTGAATATTTTCGAGTATTTGAGATATTGGATTTTGAAGTTTCCTTTGTGTTCCTGTCAGGAAGTTATTCTGTTCAAGAGATATTGGATTATTGGAACTCTCCAATCCAGACCAAACTTGTCTGTTTGAGACTTCAGCATGTCAGCTGTAACTGTTATTGTCGAAAGTTTAATCTATTCCACTGAAGATTTTGTGGGTTTCAGACTTTTAGGGCTCATGATGCTAGTGCATCGGTGAGTTATTTTACATCATAATCAAGTTGCATATAACACAATTATCTTCTTCGTGTTCTTGTAAAACAAAACTTGCTTTAGTAAAAACTAAAAGAGAAGATAAACAAGAATAGTTGTCACGGATTAGGTCATAATAGCTTATCACTAGTTTCAATTTAAATAAGCAGAGTAACAAATTAGCAAATAAAAGTTTCTTTTTTTTTATGAGTTCTTCCCACAAAACCTTCTCTGCAGAATCGCAGGATTAAAATAAGCCTCCAATGCAATCTCACAATCCCAATTCCTCCTAAACCCATTCTTTTTTCTTCTTCTTATATATACAGTACAAATTCCACGAGAACAATGTGTCAACGAGTCCAAGATTAAAAGAAAAGCTGCCATACCATTCTTGTCAAATCTGAATAGTGTTCTGTTTTCATGTTGGAGCACAAGGAAGAAAACATGGTGAGGTTTTGGCTTTAAAAGGTACTTTTGATCAATCAGAATGAGCCAAAGCAGCTACTTCTTTCTCTTGCTTCTTCTTCAAGTGTCTCTGTGCAGTTGCTGTCACAATCTTGACGAAGAAGTTGAGGAGCATGAGCCACACTATCCCGTTCCAAATCGATGCAAATGAAAAATCCCATTTTTTCACCTTACCACAAACAAAAACAAACCACATTCAATACAAGTTTTTGTAAAAGAGTTTTGTCAAGAACGTAAAAGGTTGTTTTGTTGTGTTGTGTTGTGTTTACCTTGATATGAGATGGAACAGGAGGTGACACATCAATATACTTTTCTTTCATGGTGTGGAGTTTGGCTATGAGTCCAGGTAACACATCAGCTAAACCAGGGACATGACTTAGTATCCAGATCATCTCGTTCTCCATCCAATCCAGCAGTTGGTTATTACATACGCAGATGATAAATATTGTCTATCAAAAGAAGACACAAAGTTAAAGATCATTCAGGTGTTGGAACAGGCCTAGAGCGTAGAGAGTGAATATTAATTTTTATGATGAGATACAAGTTTCCCACACCTGTATGTGAGTTTTGATGATCGCCTTTCCGATTAAAGTGGCTAGAAAGAATTCCCAAAATGGAATTCCAAACTGTCCACACATTATTCCAGCCAGGTCAAACAGAGGATTTGGAACCTGCACTCCAACAGAAGCAGTGTGTAGATGGTAAACACTAGTTCAAAGCAATGTTCTAAAAATCAGTCTAGGGATTAAAAAAATCGGCTAGGTACCCAACTAAACAATAATATAAGACGCCTAACCACCGCCTAGCGAGTTTTAGAACATTGGTTCAAAGTATTGATCACTCCCACTAATCATTGAAGGCAGAGGTAATTGCATGAATGCAATAACATTCTAAACAATCGCTAATGCAGAAGGGAAAGTTAAGTGGGAGCATGCATACTAACCGAAGCAAGAACCAAGACGGTAAAGAAATTCAAGTGCTGTGAATGTGTCAATAGCCAGTGCTTAACCCGGTTCAAATTAGCCGCCATAAATCCACTATCTTCAGATGATGAGGTTTCTAATTCTTCCATTCCATCCACTGTGCTACCAGAAAGACTAGCTGGAAACATTTATAAAGCCAAACACACAATAAACAACCAAAACATATGCACACTCCACTAATCAAAGAGAGAAGCAATATACGAACCTGCTCTTGAGATAAAATAGGGAGGAAGCTCCCCAAGAGCTGTCCCAATACCCCATAGAATCGCTTCCAGCTGGACTTGTGGCAATATGCTGGTGAGTGGAACACGAGATCCAGCAGCTGATACCATTAGAGGAGGACCAAATTCTGAACAAGACTTCTCGAGCCACGAGGGGACTCGTTTGAACTGTATGGTATCATAAGGTGCAGATTTCAGATCAACACGGCCACATTGTGTTGCTTTCAGAGTGAACAACGCAACGTGGGGACCTAAATAGAGAACAAAAGTGTGGAGACCAGATCCTATACAAGAATAGAACAATGTTAGATGCGAAAAATATTACTGTTTTTTCTTTTGTGTGTGTGAGACTAACCAAGACCAATAGAAGATGCAACTCCAAGTGTTATCCACCATAAGCTGTATCGAACATACTCTAATACTTCTTCAACATGCTGTAACAACAATTACACTATCTATTTAAACCCTTTTTCACTACAATCCGAGAATATCTTTATATGTCAAAAAAAAAACTGTGATTACCTTTCCATGAGGTCCATCAACAGTCACAAGCAAAACTCCAAATGCGACTAACAAAGTGGTCAAAAGCATGAACAAACCTCCATGAGCAAGCAGATACAATACCGATCTCTTGATGTACAGAAGAGTAGCCTCAACAAACAACTTCAATGTATTCAAAGGTTGTGAGGTCAGTCTTAGATTCTCTACTTCCTTCTCATGCTTCTCACGCAGAGCTACAAATTTAACAAAGATTATTATTTGTAAACCCCAACAATGTCCATGTGAGTTCCCTATTTCAGCATCTGAAAAATTACAATCTTCTCCATATCTCAAACGAAAGTGTAAATCTTTAACTAATCCAAGTCATTTCAAATTACAGATGCTAACCAAAAAAAAACATGGAAAGCTCATTTTTTCAGATCTCTAAAGCTATAACAAAGCCTCTATAATCCTAAAGACATATATAAAAAGAGAAACTTGCCTGAGATTGCAGCATCAGAAGAAGAAGAAGTCGCTGCAGCGGCGGATCCCATCACCTCTCTGTGTGCGTATGTGTCTCTGTTTGGGTCACCACCACGGCACCACCAACTACTAGTATATCTTAAAAGAGGATAAAGAAAAGATTTTTAACATAGATTCGAATGTTTAGAAGGATATCTGAACATGGGTACGGTCTGATTCAAGATGGGCAGTAAGAAACAAAAAAAAATATAAAAATAAAAGATTGCTTGGAAACAAAAACAAACGCTTTTTTTTCTTTTTTTTTGTTGGTATAATAAATAAGATTCTCTTTGGTAACGTGACGTGCGGTGTGGGCTTAGGTTGAGATCAAAGCAAAAGGGAAGAGTGGAAGATTAGAGAGAGTTGAGGACTTTGTTGTAGAAAGTCTGATATGGATCAAGCGGAGACTCGGAAGCAGACGCAAAGAGGAAAGTTAACAGAGTCTGCAAGTTTCCTCTAGTGGAAGGCCCATTCCGGTTTTCATGATGGGACCCGGTTAAATCGAGAGATCTATTTCAATTTTTACTCAAATTTTGGTATAAGCAATGAACCGGACTCATTAATTGGATTGCAAATGACTAAATACAACTTTCAAATTTTAGATTGTAAAATATTATTTAGTTGTTTAAGTTCATTAATACTTTTATAGTAGTAAATATATGAGGTTCAAGTTATAGACAAAAACCGATTCATACCAGTTTTCCTAATGGGAGTGGTTGAACCGGAGATTTATTTCCATCAAAATCGGTATAAGCTATGAACCGGACTTATTAATCCGACCACACATCAATCAAATATTAGATTTTGCAAACTGGAAGCTTAAAGATTACACCTCTTTCAAATAATCAAATAATAGATTTTGCAAACTGGAAGCTTAAAAATTAATATTATATTTCAGTTGATTTAAAAATAAACTAAATTTAATTATTTCAAACTTCATTTTTTTCTCAAATTTATATCTTCGTACTTTTTACATAAAAGTTTTCCGAATCCATTATAATAAATTAACATAATTAATTAATGTTTAGTTATAAAAAGTAATTGATTAAAATTTAAAAACCCTAGCGGATCATTTAAACAAGGACTTTTAAGTTATTAATCCGATAACATGAGTTTAAATTTCTAAATTCATTAAAATTCACAGTGTTAGTACATTAAATCACAAAATTGATTTGTCCACACAACTTCTTTTAAAACCTTTTTTGAACACCTTTAAAACCTAAAAACAGATAATCAAGTGGTAATATTAGAGCACCCCCATCAAGGGTTGATGGGGGGAGTTCACACGGAAACCGAGAAAAAAAATAATATTAAAATCAGATTTCTATGAACCCCTCTCTCAAAAGTTCACCGCGGTGAACCCCGATGACCCCGGGTTCACCACGTGTCAACATATGAGTGGTCCAAAATTAATTTTTTTTTTAATTTTTTATTTTTTAAAAAGTAAACGAAAATAAATAAAAAAAATTATTTTTTTATTTCTATGAACCCCCAAGGGGGGTTCATCAATGTGGGTGCTCTTAAGAGCCACACGTAACCAAGTTAAAACCAAATATTTTCTCTTTAAAAAAAAATACTTTTCTCTTCGTACTTATTTACGCGATTAACGGATCGTTGTCGAAGAAATTAGAAGGTCGAAGAGTGAATCCACCGTGAAGTGTTGGCATTACTGGAAAGTCTTCTTGGTATGGAATGTGATGAAACCCAACATTGTACCACATCACTATGTCTTTGTTCTCTATCTCTCTGTTCCTGCTCCCATCCAAGACAACCCCACAAATGTTATAATATAAACTAACTAAACTATACTATAACATGTGATTAATCAAAACAAATACGATTATGTTTGGCTTAATTACCTGCTACTCCATACAGCTAAGCCGTCATCTCCACGGCTCCTATCGCTGTAAAACCCACCAGCCCATCTCTCTGACCGGTTATAAGCCGTCACCCAAACCGGATATTTTGTGTAAGACGCCCTAATCTCCGGGTAATCATCGTCAGTTAAAAGCGAAGTTACCGGTAAATGTTCCGGTATCAACCTGTAACCAACCGTGTTTCCTATTTCCGTCTTCTTTTGTGGATTAACTATTAGCAGCTCAACCGGTTCTGAACCGAGTCGAACTCTTCCGTCGGCTTCTGTTTTCGCTGTCTCTTTCACGACCGTCCAGTAACTCTTCCTCGGAGAAGAGGTTTTGTTCACTCTTACCGTTTTGAGTTTGGCTTTCACTAAAGAATTGCCGTTACCGTCAATGTCAAGGTCTAAGTAGTACGTCAAGTAATGGTCGTGGTTAATGGCAATGGTGTTTTTAGCCACTAGTGTCCCGTAAGTGTTCTCCGTTATCTGCTTGTTCGAAGTGTATGACGTTGCTTTGACTTCTAAAACTCCAGTCAAATCCACCTATAATTAAAATAACGTGCATGGAAAAATTGGTGAGCAACATTTGGTAGCTTAACAATGAACAAAAAGAAAAATATAATTGCTATTTAATCTTTTTTTTATTTAATTTCAATAATATAATTTTTATCTTAATATTTTTTTATTTAGTTAGGTGATTTTCTCTGGTAACATATTATTATTTTATGTGTACATGTATATAATTAAATGGACAATTAAGAAAATTAAATTCAAAACCAAAATCCTATAACCTATCTACTTTAATACAGTATGGTATATCCTGACATTAAAGAATAACATGTTACTAGAAATTAATCAGCTACCCTCAATAAATAAATGGATTTTCAAAATGTCCCAAAGTTTATTTGACATAAAACTAAAAATAAAGTAAAAGAAAATTAGTTAATTGTAACAAATACATAAAGTTGGCATTACCCCAACTCGGATGGCTCCATTCTTTTTAAATTCCCAATCAACGATGTAATCATAGTTTCCTAGTGTTGCCACCATCCTAACCACTAAACTAATATCAGCTTCACCACTAGTTATCTGCAAAGATAAACAAAACAATATATAAAAAGAAAAATTAAGTAAAAATAAATAAATATATTAAGGAGCTGGATTTAGGAGTTTACCACTTGTCCTGGAACATTAATCTCAGTGTGTCTAAAAGAAGCACCATACCCATTTTTCTCAAAGACACACATCACATTACTCATCCTCTGAGCTGTCCCATCAGGTCCCGCCACGTATCCATCCAAAAACCCAGCGTTTCGCGGGCAGTCGATGAATGGCTGCAGATTAACTGCGGATCTCCCGAAACCGAACTCTCCTATGTCCATGAACGTACGAAAGTACCAATCATATGTCGGGTCCATGTACGGAACAAAAGTCTCTGACAAGTGTCCTCTGTACATAACTCTTCTAAACCTTTTGGTTCTTGTGTCAAGAACCGAAGCTGTCGATATGGTCACCCCCGCTCTAGCACTAAACCCCACGTGGAATTTCCAGTTAGCCCATTTTATTTTATTGCCGAGAATCTTGAACCCTGTGTCGGATACGTTGCAAGAGAACGGGAACGGTTTGTGTTTGGTCCGAAAGTCGTTACCATCTTTATCAGGTATAGGCTTTATGAATCTGTCGGAGTATTTCACGATTTTCATCGAGTCAACGTCTATAGTTATGATGATTCCTTCGATGGGTCTTGTGAAGACATTTACTGATCCGTCTCTGTAAAAGCAAGAGGCCTTGACCTCTCGTCTCGTGATGGTTTCTCCGTACCAACCAACGGTGAGAGGGATGCAAGAAACCTCGGAGATGTTTAAGGACCGGTCAAGAATCGATTTCTTGAAGAGAGGGTAAGTTAGAGGAAGCTTGCTTGCTTTGAATAGCTCTATGAATGTGAATGAAGGGAAGCCATGGCCTTTGTAGATGCGTGAGGATGCGATTTTTTCTGAGGTTAGGTCGATGATGAGCTCGTGGGTTTGACCACCGGCTCGAACCACCACTAGTGCGCGACGGCGTGGTGGATGTGGTGGTTTCTTGGAGGATAGCCACTTGAGGACGTGGGTCTTGTTTGGTTCTTCGAGGTCGAGGTAGTGAAATGTGAGATCTTTGAGAGTGCCGAGATGAGATTTCTTGACGATGGAGCTTGTTTTGTTGATTTCTTGGGGAGTTAAGGGGTCGAGTGGGTGGAAATGTAGGCTAAGATTGAAAGCACATTGCAGGAGAAAGACTAGGGTAAGTATTGGTATCTTCATTAATGGAAATTTTGTTGTCAAATTGAGTTATAGGACTGAGAAAAAAGTATATTTCTTTTTTTTTTGTAAAATGAGAGAAATGTAGGCTAAGTTTTTTTTTTTTTTTTCTATTTTAATGAGAGAAGTATATTGATGGAGTTGTTATTGAAGATGACAACAATGCATTTATATGCATGCACCTTAACGTTTATATGTGTAGACACACGAATAAACTTCAAACATATAGATGGACTTGGAAAGTCGAATAACACTAATATTAATTGACTAGAAAGATGAGAAACGTAAAGATGAAAAATAATTATCACGTGGCATATTATATAGTCTTTCTTCTCCATTAAGCCAGCAAACTTATTATGCAGCCATATTGGACTGACAACGTATACTTTATGTACATTTAAGTCATAACTTGAAGTGTAAAACAAGGATTAATCCAATATTACAATCTCCCACTTGTACATGTGATGATGGTATCACAATTTAAGTCCTTCGCTTAAACCTCGTTTACGTTAACTAAAAACGCACAAATGAAAACTGATTTGATTTGTCGTTCTTTTTTTTGTTTGCTTTCTTTGTTTAAAAACTATAAATTATAAGAAAATTGAGTTTAATAAGATAACTATAAGTTTTGATCAAAGAAAATACTGTAATAATAATAAGATAACTATAAGCAAAATATATTAAGATCATGGTTTAGCCAATCACGTCTCAATCTCAGCATCACAAATCAATCTCCTCGAAACATTAACATATATATCTATCTAAATACAAACTTACATTTTTGGAATGTGTCAATCCTGGTTGTTCATTCATCTATATGAGTTAAAAAATAGTTAGAATTAAAATAGAACTAGGTTTAAATCATAGATGGTTGGACTGGGCTAAACCCTTCATTTAACATTCCGAAACAGAGCCTAGCCAAAACATTCATCCTCGATTCTTCACTTTTTCATGAAAAATAGATATTTCAATTGTTTAAGGATTATTATTTTGTGAAAAAAGGAGATATTTTAGAATACCTCAAATGATATGGGAATATATATATTCTTGTTTTCTTATTTTCTTCTTCATGCTTTGCTCGAGCATTGAACTCGTCACACGTTGCGGTTAAGAGTGCCTTCGCAGACCAGTCAAGCTACAAGAACGAAAGCGGTTACTATTTTATCCTTATTAGATTTAAACTAATGAATGTAACAAAATCGCTGCAAATTTTATGGTTTATCATAGGCAAAAATCAAGTGTTTTCTCTACTCTCTACCATGGAGCTCTCTCCAGCCGACCATCTTCAGACACTCCTCCTCCGCTAAGCTTCTGAGACCACCTCTCATAGTTAGGTTTTTTTGCTTCCTTGGAGAAAATAACCACGTCTCAATCTCAGCATCACAAATCAATATCCGGCGCTTCTTCTGCTCCTCTCCATGTTAGCTCCTTCACAACATATTAGCTAAGATGAATTTAATTTCAGTATTTAACAAAATCCCTATTTCCTAGGTTCCTCTTTTTGTTAGCGAGGATCTGATTTGATTAGCTTGATAGGTGAAGTGTAGAGAGAAACAAATGTGTCTGGTAATGGAGTTGCAGATTACTCCACTGATTCTTCTGGCCTTTTCGGGAATTGATGTGTTACAGAAAGAGCTGTTAGCACCAAAGACATGCCTAGTCTGCTGCTGAGACAGGTTTACTATATTATAGTCATTAGTTAGTTTTGTAGGTTCCATTTTTATATGCCAATGAATAGTAAAAAGAGAATTAAAAAATCCCAGCCGAGTCGAAATGCTTTAGATTTATTCAACCTCTAACCTTTTAGTGTTTTAATATTTTTGGATGCATATATAATTTAGTACTAGATTCTGACCCGCCCTTCAAAGGGCGGGTATATTTTTTATTTTACATTTTTTTAAAAAATCAATTTTTATATTTTTAATTATATTTATATTTGTAATAATATTTGTGTAAAATATTTTCTTAAATAATTAATAAAATGTTATAATAAGAGATTTAAAATGTGCATAATTTTTTTTGCAGGTAATAATATAAAACAATAACAGTGTTGAAAATTCGACCATATATGCCGGTCAAACCGTGACTCGCACTTCTAATCGATTCCAGATTATGCTAGAATTGGACTTGAGTTAAAACGAAAAATCCAGTAACAACTGGCTAAAAACCATGAAAATCCACTAAAATCAATAATCCAGCTTGATATTACAACATGGTTTTATGAAATTCAAGTAGAAAATTCAATTTTTTTAAAAAAAATCATAAATTTTCATAGTTTTTAGATTCTGATTTTAAATTTTATAATAATAATTTTATATTTGCACATATATGTTTATATATAATTACTTAGTTTAAAATTAAATTAAAATTTAAAATTTGATTGTTCATTGGCCCAGTTACAATGTCATGCCTGGTCATGTTTTCAAAATATTGCGATAGATAATCACTTTTCAATATTAAATATTTGAACAACATTTTTTACAAATCAATTTGATTAATTTAAAAATTAGACAAACAATTTTTTAAAACTGGTATTTTATATAAAGCAGTTGACTTAGTGGATACAAGTGATGTTATTTTTACAGCATGTTACGTGTTCGAACTAATTACAGTCCTTTTTTGTTTTTTGTTTTTAAATAGTTTCTTTAATAAATGGCACTATTGTAAATAAATCGTCTTCTTCCTTATGATAGCTTTTTGGTTTCTGCAAAAACACTTCCATGGCCGTCATAAAAAATGTTATCATTATAGACTGCAATATTGCGTTTCTCTTTCAGACCCATCATCAATTTTCTAGATCTGGTATATAAATTCCCTTCCAAACATTCAAAACCCAGGAAAATAGATTATTTTTACAAAACCAATTTATTAACCGAATTTAGCAAAATTGCCAGGATAACTCTCCACCGAGTTCCATTGGCGAGCAATCGTTCACCACGCCCACGTTTCTGAACCTACAAATATGTTTGTTTCTGTGATTAAACCTATGAAAATTTGTGTTTGTATCGTACTTACACAATTTTTTTTATTTATAATTCCATACTTTAATGAGATATTGTTTTCAAAAAATATATGAAATTGTAGACTCTGAAATTAAAGTTAGTCGACGGTTTGAGAGAGAGAGAAAAAAATGAGTCGAGTCCCGCATAATTAGGAATTGAATTAGTTAGTGATTATAATATTTGTATAAAATGCATAAAGTTCAATTATTATTGATATTAGTAGGTGGTTATTAAATAAGTTGGACACAACCTTTATCAATAGGTCACACTGCTGTTTTAATAGAATAGATTGCAACCTTATATGCATCCAAAAAAAGAAATAGTATTTTAACCATTTTCTTTAATTTTATTCACTTAGGTAAAACCTTTTTATATAAATTTGGGTAAATAATTCATAAACATTAATATCATCCCCAGCTTTTCACTTTCAAAACATATATATATATATATCAATTAGCTTAAGGATTATTTCTCTACAACAAAAAAGAGATATTTTAGAATACCTCATATGTTACTGAGATTCATATATATATATATACATACATTTCTCGACCTTCTTGTCTTATGTTTCTTTCTTTTCTATGTGCCTTGCTCGAGCATCGAAAACGTCACAAGTTGCACGCAGAGTGCCTTCGCAGACCAATCTAGCTACAAGAGCGAAGGCGAACATCATTTCTCTTGTAAAATTACTAACGTCGTTATTAATGTTACGACGTCGTAAGGGCTTAGCATAGGCAAAAATTAATCAACTACCTTTGTTAATATCACTCTCACTCAATTATAATGGAAGCATGAGAATTTTATCTTAGTTTTATTTTAGTACTAGGGGTTTGTCCGCGCTTCGCGCGGAAGTTTTAATATTTTAAATTTTAAAATTGGTATATTTACTATATCTTAAGTAGACTATGCTAATACTATTTTTAAAATGAATAAATCTCTAGATTATTGTATTTAATATGAAAATTTATAATATATATATATATATATCAAGTTTCAAAATATATATATATATAGATATATCTTAATCACCACTTTTTAATACTATACGATGTATTAAAATATAATTATATTAGTATAACTAAATTGATCAATTCCATGATTTGTTTAAAGTTATGTTGATTTTGGTTATTATGATTTGAAAATAATATTAATGTGGACTATAAAGATCTCAATGATTATAAGTATATATATATAATTTTATATTTTATATGAAGATATTTATATATAGGTTAGCTCTTTTATGGATTTCCAAAAACTGGTTCAAGTAATTAAAACATCGATCATGATTTGTTACTGTGAACTGAGAACTCAAAGCAAAGTCTCATGTTTTTTGGGATTATAAAAACATGTGTGACTGGATTTACGATGCTTATGCATTCAATGATTTATTTTCTAATGGGCGGGGGTGGGTATCTATTATTAGACAGATTGTTTGGAAGCACGTAATCTTGCTTTATTCTACTGATGTCAATCTGCAATGCATGAGTTCAAAGATGCTATGGATAAGTTCTATGTTGGTGACTTTGTGTTTATTAGTTACCGACAACACAACCTCTATGAACGAACCAACAAAACAGAAACACAAACATACAAATGAGCAACCATTTTTAGTAATACAAAATGTTTATTAATCACCAATTCTGTAATTATTTCCTCTTATTCTCTTAATCACCACAAAAAATATAGTTTCAACGGATCTGCTTAAAACTTCAACCATTGCATTGTAAACCACAACATCCTTCACTTTGGTCGTACAATCTCTCCAGCATCCTCCATAAAAACTTGTTTCATGTAACCTGAGATCATCGATCTAGAACATAGAACATTATCATCTTTCATCGTTTCAAACACAATCCTTGTTTCCATGAATGAATCAAGTAGCTATTTATTACTACTTCTTAATCTCACGGTCACCATAAGCGGGAGAGCATATGATGACAATGAGATGTTTTCATCTTTCTTCCCTCTCTGCAATTCATAATCAAAAGTCAGTAACGCAACATTTCGGGCTTGCTGCTGAAACATTCAAAAATTTAACTCACCAGTTCAAAGTGAAAAGGGGGCAAGAAGCAAACTTTAAAATTCACTAAGTTACTCTACACATTCTTCCCTGTTGAGAAAGAAGCAAGAAGAAGCTGGAGAGTGATAAATTTTCAGAGGTGGGTTGGTTTCATTTTGGAGGTTAGCACAGAGAAAAAACTTTGAATGGTCTAGTTTCCAATTAAATATATATTTTTTTCCTCTTTGTGCTTCCTCCAAGCATGAGCCAAGAACTAAACTTTGGTTTGACTAATCTGACTCTGGTTGTTTCTCCAATCTGGTGTCTGTGTAGATAGAAAAATGTGCCTTAAATGAGCTGCACAGATCAAAGTGACTTGTACAATAAGTTAGAGTTTTTGGTGAAGTTTGTATATGCTTAAAAGTTAAAAAAGCAGAGAAGTGCATAATCACTGACTGGTTGGGCTTTGGATCTTTGGCTTGTAATCCTAATGCTTGTCGTCTTGTATATAAGAAAACAGTGAATTGTTGTTTGCTCGAAAAAATTGATGCATAGTAAGTCCAACCTCTGGAACCATTCCTGCAACTATATAATGGTGAGAATATTTTGTTTCACTGAATAAAATGTTTATCTGGATACTACCTTTAACTATCTCTCTNTGGCTTGTAATCCTAATGCTTGTCGTCTTGTATATAAGAAAACAGTGAATTGTTGTTTGCTCGAAAAAATTGATGCATAGTAAGTCCAACCTCTGGAACCATTCCTGCAACTATATAATGGTGAGAATATTTTGTTTCACTGAATAAAATGTTTATCTGGATACTACCTTTAACTATCTCTCTGTTATAATTTTTTTTTAAATTTCAATGAGCTCTATAATTGGAACAACCAAAGCTTATTTACTCGCATAAGAGAATCACTGATACACAAATGCTTTCGGTGATATTCAAAATCATAACACAAAAGACAATGAGAAATTTAACACATTAAAGAAATGGAGAAAACATACTTGAGGGCTCGCGGATATCGCCATGGACATTTTCAATCGAGGGTTCGTCAGGAGATTGGGAGCCATTTTCTTGAACAAAAAATTCTAAATCAGAAAAAGAGCAAAAAATTCACTAAAAAGCTTCACCACTTCCAAAAACCGCCTAAAAACTTCCTAATAGTTTTTTTCCAAACAGCAATTCTGATTCGTTCTTGTAAGGTCTAGATTGATTAGAGTATACACATAAGTTAATCAATAGGAAAAAAAAGGTGTTACTGTCGATGCAAATTCAATTATGTCATATAATCACAACACTTGATCACAGCGGATAAATAAATCTAGAAAGACAAGGAAAGACCAACTGTCGTATTCTAAAGACGAAAATACGATTCACAATATATAACAAATAAAACCAATCGAATAAGAACATGCAAATTACATAAGAAACTATAGATTGAGATCTTAATCATTGGCATTCACGTATCTTGAAGCTAGATTGACGAAACCAACAAATAATTTTCCTGATCAATTATCCAAGGATTAGTAATCTCAACAAAAACAAAACATGAGAAGAAATATAAAAAAGCAAAATAAAATCAGAAGTAAGCATTTAAGAATACACCTTGAAAGAGAGAGACGTATGAGCGATTTAGGTTTTGTTAGAGAGAGTTGATGATGAATCAGAGAAAGACGACGTATCAATTTCGTCGCAAGGTTTTCTGAAACGTACATAACTTTTTACAATAATGGCATATGGGTCTTAATTGATTTTTTTTTAAAATCCCACTATAATTTCTCAGTCTAAAAACATTAAAAAATATGATGACAGGTGGCTGTAAAACTGAGAAAGAGAAACCAATTTAAACCAAGCCTTGAGAGCTAAATTGTGATCGGTGTAATTTAATGGGTTATTGCTGACATGGCTTTTTTTGCCCCCCTCACAAATGCTGATGTGGATGCATGAGAAGGGAGAAAACTTGATTTTATTGTATAAGATATTACTTTCATTGGGCTATAAAAACCGGTTTAGTGTTGAAACCAGTGAAAACCGGACGTATGAAAGCGTTTTACGTGTTAAACCAATGGGTACCATTGTGGTCGGTGACCGGTTACTGTAACTTTGGGGTGTACCGTACCTGCTACAGCCGGTCAGGAACAAATCTATCCCTCTCCATTAAAACAAACAAACTCCTGCAACAACAACAATAATTAGTCATCTCTTTACTTTCGACCCTAAAAGCTCTCTCCCCTTCCCCTTTTAATCCTTCTCTCAATCAAACCAATCGTGGCCGTCCATTTTGAATCGGTAAGTAACGAAATAGATCTAGGGTTCTTCGCCGTTTGGGGGAGATTCATGGTGTGAATTCGCATAAATTTTAGGGATAATTAGATCTGGCGTTCCTAGGGTTCATCGCCCTCGGGTGTGATTGCATTGTGTGCCGGAATTGGAAGGAGATTCATGGAGAGAGGTGGGAGGAGATCCGGCGGGGTGTTAATCAAGAAACGAAGCTCCTCTGGTTGCTTGATTCTGAAGAAGAAGACCGATAACAACAACAACAACAACAACCTCCTCACGAGTGATTCTGAGGATTACAATGTAGAAAGGGATTCTTATTATCCTGAGGATTGTTTTTTCGAGAGGCGTAGATTAGATGATGAGGATGAGAGCGAAGAAGACGAGGAATTATTGAAGAGATCTTATGATGGTAGTAGTGGTAAGAAATCATATTTAGGCTCTTCTGCTCAATTTGGGATAAATAGGGAATGTGGAAGTAGTAAATATTTAGATATTGAGAGGATGAGGATAAGAAGACCTTGTTTAGACCAGAAGAGCTTGAATTTGGATAAACCAATTAGGGTTCAGGGGAAGAATGGTGTTCTCAAGGTGATGCCAAACAAGCATAATAAGGTGATGAGAGGTTTACCACAAAGTTTCACTCATGTCCAAGCTCAGAAGCCTGGGGAGACTGGTAAAATACGCGTTGCGATTAAGGCTGAAACCAAACTGGTTCCTACGGCGAGGGTACACTCAAATGGGTTGCAACTACCCATGAAAAGCAAGGGCCATGAGCAAGATTCTGAAGATAGTGATGATTCTGGGAGGCTGGAGAAGAGGATCATTCAACCTCAGAAGGTTTTGAAGATTGAGAGAGAGAAAACGTTAGCTGAGGCGCCGACACTTTCGAAAACTAGAGAAGGAGGGAAGGTTAAGCGCGGTTCAGGCACGGAGAAGCAGAGGTTACGCGAGCGGATTAGGGAAATGTTACTGGAAGCAGGGTGGAGTATTGATTATAGACCTAGAAGGAATAGAGATTACTTAGATGCTGTTTATATAAGCCCCAGGGGAACTGCATATTGGTCTATTATCAAGGCTTATGAAGCTCTTCTTAAGCAGGTTAATAGTGAGGAGCAAGTGGCTAAACCTTGTGAAGTTGGTTCCGCAGCTACTCTGATCTCGGATGAGATACTCAGTCAGTTAACGCGGAAAACCAAAAGAAAGATTGAAAACGATATGAAAAGGGTGGGACAGTGTGCCAATGATAGTGATGGACAAGGAAGTCTTGGTGATTTTACAGCTCCTCTTGATGAACCACTTACACATGTCTCACTGGTAATAAAAATACAATCTGTGAGCTAGTTTTTTTTTTTTCTTTTGTTTCTTCAGTGAATTGGAGTTTCTCGCAAGTATTTTTTCGTTGATGATAGATGAAAATCTTGCAGGATCTATCTGGTTGACTGTATCTTGGTTATGATATAGGCCGTGGGGACATACTACACTCAGGTCCGTCCGGTTTCAGGTTTTTTCTTTTCTTGGTTTGTGTCTAATCACTAAACGAATCTTTGTACCATTTAGTTGGTGGAGGACTTCTGCCAGTCAATGTTTCATCTGCTGGTAAACCTTGCAGCTTCATGATTGAAAAATATTGGAGCAGCTTAAGTGTGCACCACTAGCTTTTTCCTGGATCTTTCTCTGTAATTTTAGCATGTGAAGGTGATCAAGTGTCATGCTCTTGTTTCTTCTATCAAAACACTATTCTAGCTAGATGGTTGTCAAATATTTTTTCTGTTTAATGGATCTGCAATGACTCGAGGAGTCTTCTTCGCGTAGCCTCTAAATCTAGTTATAAATATTACTAACTTTTTTATTCATTTATGATTATTATGCTTTTCTCATTTTTGACAAGCTTTAACATGTTTTAATTAGACAAGATTCAGGCAGAACCTACGTTTGGACCCATAGTAATGTCTTTCTGAATAGAATCATGATATGTTACCGTTTTCAGTCTCTGGTCTGTAGTATTGGTGTTGTGAATCTGAATTAGGTGGTAAGTAATTTTTCTACGGTGGAAATTTTCAAAGCTTAGTGTGTGTTTGTGTTTACTTTGGTGAAAAGGAAAACGTCAATGTTGTTGGAGAATGACGTTTTAACCTTTCCAACATACGTTGGTTAGAGAATCATACCAGCTTCAATATAACTATCGATTTGAGGCAAGGGGAATACCACAGCAAGATCCTAAGAGAACTCGAAGGATTTGTGTAAATAATGCTTCCCTAAAACCAAAACGCACACTACATTTCTCTGTAATATATTCCCCTAATTAATCCGGTGCTGTCCACATCATGTCTAAACTCAATAGACGAAACAAAAAGTTAAATGATCATAGTTTTTAGTCTCGTTTGTTTATTCATTGGCAGTTGGCAACAGGTATATATTCATCATGCAGACAGGCTCAAAATCTAAGATAAAGGACATAACACGTGTTATTAATAATGAATGTTTGGTTTATTAGAAGTTATGATCGCCATGTTGACAATTAGGAGGACATATATATTGATTTTACATACAATGAATAAATTCGCTGGATTATGCAGTGCCTTAATCATTTTACTATAATCATAAACCCTTCTGAATGTATGTTTGAACTCAAGTGACATTCAAAAACTCGAAAAGCAAGATTCCATTACAAAAGTACACCACACCATACACCAAAAAACGACCAGTTCTTTAGTCGTTAGCTGTTGCTAGTTGCAGAGACAAGAGCTCTTCCTCAGGGATCATCTTAATGTGACAGTCAGAAGTTGGATACGACGCGCACAGAAGCGCGTAGCCACGTTCCACCACATCCTCGCTCAGCATCCCGTCGCTCTGATCCACCGTTCCGGTCACGAGTTTCGCCGGACAAGTCATGCAAACGCCGAGGTTGCAGTCGTAAGGCACGTCCATCCCCGATTCAAGAGCCTTCGATAAAATCGTCTCGTCCGGTTCAACTTCCAGCTCCGTCTTCTTTCCGTCCTGCTCCACCACCACTTTATACGAACGAGCAATGATTCCTCCGGTGGGAAAAGTCCGGCGATGTGTTGTTGAGAGTGTCACGTTCCGGGGAGGGAAGGAGAAGGGATTGGTGAGATAAGGTTTAGGGAGAGAGATTGTAGAGGTTTGAGTGAGAGGAAGAGACGCCATGAGTGACTGAGACAAAGACAAAAGAGATTTGTGTTTGATTGAGTGTGTGAAGATGCCTATACTCTGTGGTGACTAAAGGAGATAAGGTGTGAAGGATTAAACCGGAGTAAAAATGAAGATTAAACCGGATCTGATTATATAGAGACAATGACAAAAGAGATTTAAGGGTCTGACTGGTTGAAACGCGGCGGTTGCGATTGCGGTTGCGGGAGTTTGCGGATGTGGATGGTTGCGGTTTCTAGCGTTATTAGGCGATTTGTACGACTGGTATAGCGATTAAAAACTGGTGCGTTTGCGGGACATTTATGACTGGTTGATTATGAGATACTACAGCGGTTCAATAATAAATTTCCAATATTAACATATTATAACATTATAAAAAAATTAAAACATACTGTTATGATAAAAAATAATAACTATTAATATATTATAAGTAATAACAATATTATTTTATTATTTTTTATTTAGATGAAAATATAATTTCTATAATTAATAAAATATTCTAATATAATTAATTATATATTTATGTATTTATATATTTATCTATTTATCTATTTATATATGTATATTTATATATTTATTTAT